GGTGGGGAGGGGAGAGGAAAGGAGATTGTAAGCCACTCTGAGACTCCTTCAGGTAGTGAAGGGTGGGGTGTAAATCTAATCTCCTCCTCCTCCTCCTCCTCTGACAAATAAAACAGTTTGGGTTTTCCAAGCCATCCAGGTTGCAAAAATATTTCCAACTGGTTGGAAGGAAGCAGCCCTGGTTGCAAGTAGAAACTCCAGGGAAAGCAGGTCCGAGTGTCTTATCCATGTCCAGGGGTGACTAATGTCTGCTTGAGATCTCTGTGCTTGAGAGGAGACACATGGAGCATAACAACAAGGTCTCAGTTAATTACTCTAAGTGCTCCACAATGAAGAAGGATACATTTACACATCTATCTCCAATTCTGACATATTTATTTCCTTCACTGTTTCCCCCCGGAATTAAATCCAAACAATGGTGACCTTATAAACTTAGCTTGTTATTCCTGTTTGCATCTGTTAAAACATCTTCATTATGTTGCATGCTAATTTGCTGTCCCACCTCTGCCTTATATGCATGGACTGGTCAATTCTACTTCATTGCATCTGAGGAAGTGTGCGTGCACATGAAAGCGCATGAAAGCTCATACCTCGAATAAAACTTCGTTGCTCTTAAAGGTGCCGCTGGACTCGAACTCTGTTCTAACGTCTGCCTGTTCTCTCCGTCTCCTGCAGTCTCCTGGCCGTGCGGAGTGTCAATGATCAGCTGATGCTTCTTGAGAGAGCTTTCACTGACCCACTGGGCTTGCCGGGCAGGCAGTTTTACAGGTAAAGGCACCCACAAAGTTGTTCCCCTGTCTTTTCCGTGCAGTGCTGAGACCAGGGGCTTCAGATTTAAACTGGGGGGGGGGAATCCCTCCATGAGCAGAAGCTAGATAGTTTTGAAGGTGGCGAGAGCTGGCTTCTAAAAATACCCTTCAGCCTCCACACACCACCTGTCTTACTTGCCAAAAGAGATTTCGTTTTTTGTTTGTCAGATGTATATTCTGCCCTTATCCTGTAACAGCATTTACAATATGTATATCTTTTCAAAGAAGAAGAAGAAGAAGAGGAGGAGATTGGATTTATACCCCGCCCTTCGCTACCCAAAGGAGTCTCAGAGCGGCTTACAAACTCCTTTCCCTTCCCCTCCCCACAACAGACACCCTGTGAGGTAGATGGGGCTGAGAGAGCTCTTGACAGAAACTGCTCTTTTTCAAGGACAGCTCTTGTCAGAAATAGGGCTTGCCCAAGGTCATCCAGCAGGTGCAAGTGGAGGAGTGGGGAATCAAACCCGGTACTCCCAGATTAGAGTCCGTGCACTTAACTGACTGCACCAAATGATCAAGATAATATAATATATCCTGTGACAGAACTTCTGCCTGCAGTGCTGGCGAGTTCCTGTTATTTATATAACCTCGCTCTCCTCCTACTGCGGCAGCCATTCTGTGGTTGCACCCACCACCCCTGCATCAGAGAGCCAGTTTGGTTTAGTGATTAAGAGCTGCGGACTCTAATCTGGGAGCACCGGGTTTGATTTTTTTTTGGTTTGCCATTGCCTGCCTCTGCATAGCAACCCTGGACTTCCTTGGTGGTCTCCCATCCATGAACTCACCGGGGCTGACACTGCGTAGCCTCCGTGATTGGGCTAGCCTGGGCTATCCAGGTGGGTATACAATAAGAGACTTCCCAGCATAACACAAAATACAAATGACAAAACTGTGGAATGGGATGCCAGTTAAAAAATATTACAGAGTGTGTCAAACGATTTATATCAAAGAATTACAGATATGAACAGAGGCGGTTTGCCATTGCCTGCCTCTGCATAGCAACCCTGGACTTCCTTGGTGGTCTCCCATCCATGTACTCACCGGGGCTGACACTGCGTAGCCTCCGTGATTGGGCTAGCCTGGGCTATCCAGGTGGGTATACGATAAGAGACTTCCCAGCATAAACACAAAATACAAATGACAAGCTGTGGAAAGGGACGCCAGTTAACAAATATCACAGAGTGTGTCAAATGATTTAGATCAAAGAATTACAGATCGACGTGCAAAAATGTACACAGTGCAAAAAAATTATATGCTGTAACAACGAAGGTTTTTGCATCGTATACATTTTTGCACACATAGCGGTATTGTCTGTAATTCTTTGATAGAAGTCATTTGACACACTCTGTAATATTTGTTAACTGGCGTCCCTATCCAGGTGGGGGCATAAGGGTTAGAAAACCCGGAAATGTTTTTATTAACCAGAGATTTGAGATCCCTAGCAGTCACAACAAGTATGCCGGCGTCTCCTTCCCTGGGATCTACGACGCAATGTTTGACATCGCGAGCAAGGAGGACCAGCGGAAAGCATGGCAGGAGGTCAAGAGGCAAATCTCCAGCGCCGCCTTCACGGTGCAGGCTGCCGCCGGGACGCTGACAGCCACAGCGTAGACGGCGTCCTCTGCGGAGGCACTCCTGGCCGACGGCAGCAAGAGTGGTTGACCATCTCCACATATCCAGTGGCTCCATCATAACACTGGTATTTTCAGGAAGTTGGAAACGCATAGCAGGCAACACCAGGATGGGAAGATCCAGCGCTCTCCCCAAATCTCCCCCACCCCCTCCCGTCCTTAATCGAGGCCATTAGCCTGGACGGACTTAGGGGTGGAGTTCACGCCTGCCTCTTCCAGACCGGGAGTTGCCCTCGTTATACCTTGAACTGAGCAGAGCCTCCGGCCCCTGAATGAAAGCCACGCCTCTCTTCCCTCCCAAATGCTGTCACTTCTGTATCTGAAGAAGTGTGCCTTGCACACATGCTCATACCCAGAATTAAACTTTGCTGGTCTTAAAGCTGCCACCGGACTCGATCTTTGTTCTGCTGCTTCAGACCAACACGGCTACCCACCTGGATCTGTCCTGCCATATGTTGCTTTCACGATTTACCTCGTTCCTTACCATTGTGGCCCAAGCTCTTAAGACCCAAGCCGGGCCCCACTGCTGGACCTCCTGATGGCTCCTAGTATTTTTGGCCACTGTGTGACACAGAGTGTTGGACTGGATGGGCCATTGGCCTGATCCCACATTGGCTTCTCTTATGTTCCTTGCTTGGAGTCTGTTTTGGACACGCAACAACAAGACCTTGATTTTATGTACAGAGACGGAAGCTCAGATCCTAACTGTCTTTTGCACTGGCGGAAGAGGTGCTTTGGCCGACGGGTTTTCATGGATCCCCATCTCCTACACAGACCCCAGCTTTGCCTCCTAGGCTGTTTCTAAGGGCCTATCAACCCCCCCAGGGTTCAGTTTCTTCAGTGGGCGCAGCACATGGCAATGAGGAAGGGAGGCAGGGAATTTAAAAGGATATATTTTGAAAACACTCCTCCACTCACACTAAATGGGCTCCAAGGCACAGCTCAGGTGTATCCCACTCTTTGGCATCGACGCATGAGTTCAGGCTACCCCCCACCCCACCCCACACGCTGGTCAGTCCGCAGCCCCATTGGAGGGGGCCGTGGCCAAGTGATGCTTACTGTTAGCTTGCTTGCACTGATCGTGGAAGTTGCCATTACAAGTCTGTTTGGATCTGTACTTCTCCACCCATAAACCTCAGTGCCCAGTAAGACAGGGAGAGGGCTGGAATGCACACGAACCCCCTTTTGTCCCACAGAGAGGATGGGTGCTTATACGGACAGGGGATCTTGCTCGGCCCGGGTCCCAGATCCACATTCCAGTCATGATGAGAAACTTGGGATTCTTACCCTTTAAGATCTGCGAAGGGTCCAGGGAGGCAGTGATCTGTTCAAGCTACAAGAGCGCAGAGCTGGCAACCGAGATGCTTCCAGATGTGCACCTGTCTTCCAGCTGTTCCATCCCATGGGTGTTCTGCATCAGAGACTCCTGGAATTTCAGGGTGTTGATGTTCACGTATTGCACATATTTCCACTGTGTTTCATTCACAACACAGCGGTGGAGTGTCTGCTTTGCCAAGAGAAGGCCCCAGATTCAATCCCCGGCCCCTCTGATTAAAAGGGCCAAGCAATAGATGACATGGAAGACCTCAGCTTGAGACCCCGGAGAGCAGCTGCCAGTCTGAGAAGACAATACCGGCCTCGATGAACCAGTGATCTGATTCAGTATAAGGCAGCTTCGTGTGTTCAAGTATCATGTTTTCTGGGAGGGGCTGTGGCTCAGCGGAAGATCCTCTGCCGGGCATGCAGAAGGCTCCAGGATTGATTCCTGGTGTCTCCCACTAAAAGGACCAGGCAGGAGGTGACGTGAAAGACCTCTTCCTGAGACCCCGGAGAGCGGCTGCCAGTCTGAGCAGACAAGACTGACTACGATGGACCCAGGGCCTGATTCACCATAAGGCGGCTTCGTGTGTCCCTGGGATCCCTCTAGGCACTGCCCAGGTCCAGTCCGCTTGCTTGTTCTTCAGGTGAGAGAGGGCAGGAAGCCTCCAGAGTCCTACGGTCCATGCAGGAATCTAACATGCTTCTTTTTGTACCCAGACCTGACTGTAGCTGCTTGCTGTTGTTGTTGTTCAGTCGCACAGTCGAGTCCGACTCTTCGCGACCCCATGGACAAGATCTCGCCAGGCCCTCCTGTCTTCCGCCGTCCTCTGAAGTTTGCTCAATTTCATGTTCGTTGCATCTATGACCCTGTCTAACCATCTCATCCTTTGCCTTTGACCTTCCATCTTTCCCAGCATCACGGTCTTCTAGTGAGTGCTCCCTTCTCATTTGGTGGCCAAAGTATTTGAGCTTCATTTTCATTATCTGGCCTTCCAGGGAACAGTCAGGGTTGATTTCTTTTAGGATTGACTGATTTGTTCTTCTTGCAGTCCAAGGGACTCTCAAGAGTCTTCTCCAGCACCATAGTTCAAAAGAATCTATTCTTCGGCGCTCGGCCTTCCTTATAGTCCAACTCTCACAGCCATACATGACTACTGGGAATACCATTGCTTTGACCATGCGGACTTTTGTTGGCAGGGTGATGTCTCTACTTGTTATCATTCTGTTTAGGTTCGCCATCGCTTTCCTCCCAAGGAGCAGGCTTGCTGACAATCACCTTAACACGGGAGAAGTGCGGGCAGGAACACGTGCATCATTCACCACAGAACCCTGCATGCTTCAAAGAGCTTCCTGATCGTCCAGCCGTAGGACCCCCTCAGGACCATTCCCTCGAATACCCCGACACGTGTGTGCAAATGATTTTAAGGTTATGTCATGCAATTAAAGTTTTATTTCATAGTTGCTGTTTTATTTGTGGGAAGCCTGCATAAGAGCTGGCCGTGAAGCAGAAGAATGTTGCGTTGGGACTTGTGATTATGGGTCGGATGCGGTGGGGTCCGTTTTGGTAATAGCAGGACTTTGCTCCAGCAGAAGAAGCCTTCTCCAGAGGCGGCACCCCTTAGCAGGTTGGACCTCTGCGATCCAGCTGTGGCTCTTTGGAGCCACATCGGCAAAAAGCAGCCACAGTGTCTGTCTGCCAGGGCGGCACCATCAGCGTTTTGCCTGCGGGGCGCCAGTCTCCTACTGTGTCTTTCAAGAAATGTATTTTATTGCTGAGCCGCTTGGCAAGGAGACACCAAGCCCATATACAAACCCTGTGAGTTTTGGTGTGATCACTTTTGACTTAAGGGTGCGATTGGACTCTTGCTCTTTTCTACCACCTTTTGACGGGCAGTTTTAGACTCACTACACCGGAAGGAGTGTCATTCGTTTTTATTTCTTCTGCCACGTTGGGTGTAGCAGTTAGGAGAGCTGCCCTCAGGCTCCACCCCCAAAATGCCCAGGGCTGGCCCTGCTTGGCTTTCAAGGTCTGATGAAATCTGGCTAACCTGGGCTTAGAAGGGCATTGTTCTGGTTAGGATCAAATTCAAGTTCAGTAGCACCTGGACAAAAGTGAGTTCTGAGTCACAAAACCTGACACCCTGGAAAACTATGTTGGTCTTTTAGGGTGGTTGTGGACTCACATGCAGTGTTCCTTCGGTGCTGAGTGAGTGTTGAGCTAGCTCACAGTTTCTTAGCCTCCGACTCACGCACTTTTGTCTTCGCTCAGGAAGGAGGGCTCCAGAGCAAGCGAATTTACGCAGTAGCCAAATTGCCTGCTCACCACTTCAATGCCAGTAGCTCACAAAGTGGAATTTTTGCTCACAAGACTCCACAGCTTAGAGGGAGCACTGCTCACATCATGTTGCCCTACTGCTACAGACCAACATGGCTACCGTCCAAAAAAAAATTTATTTGCTTAGGACAGCGCTGTATGTTAGTCCAGGTCCTCTCATGAGTTAAGGGCTGAGGCTGAACCTGAAGCAGACACGTCCCGGCTCCATGGCACCAGCAGGCCTGGAGAAAAATATTTGTTCCATCCCTTCAATAGAGGCTTGCTACGAGGAAATGGGCCGCTGGAGCTCTTCATGGCATGGAGGCGAATAACCTCCCCCGGTCAATAACCTCCCGTGAAGCCTTCATTAAAGAGAGATGTTTTTGCCCCAAGGGAGTTGGCGGACCTGTTTGCAAAGCGCCTCCTCTGCCCTTCTGCCACAACCCTCTCTTCTTTCTGAGAAGGGGATCCAGACGTACACACAGGAAACAATACAGCAAGGTTTGAGTCCGGTGGCACCAACCCAGTTTAATTCTGGGTATAAGCTTTTATGTTCATGCACATATGCATCTGAAGAAGTGCAGCACAGGAAAGCTTATACTCGGAAATAAATTCTGTTGGTCTTGAAAGATGCCACTGGACTCAAATTTTGTTCTGTCGCTTCAGACCAACTGTCCGACTCCCATCGCATCAACGAAGCACACACTTGTAGAAAAGGTTTTACTTTATTTGAAGCAGTAGGTGCATAACAGGATCACTGTTCAGAATGAGGCATAAGCATGGATCCCAATAGATTATAGTCAATTCAAAAAGCTGAGGCCCAATTGCGGGACTTCCCGTGCGCGCCATTGAGCCTGGGAAGCAGCGCTCCTACTGAATCATAACATACTGCTTCTCATGGATAATG